TAATTGAAATATTATAATAATTGAAATATTATAATAATTGAAATATTATAATAATTGAAATATTATAATAATTGAAAATATTATAATAATTGAAAATATTATAATAATTGAAAATATTATAATAATTGAAAATATTATAATAATTGAAAATATTATAATAATTGAAAGAAGCTTACATCAACCATATGAGTCCATTGTAACCATTTATCACATTTTCTTGAATCAAAAATATTTGATTCAGGAATAGTAGGTTTTCTTTCTTCATTAGCAAAGTATAAAAGATAAATATGTAAAGCATGACAATCAAGCATAGGAAACACAACATCATTATTAGGGTCCCAACGAATTACACGTCCTCGTAATTTGGCAGCAATACGTTCTATAATACTATCAAATGGACCTAATCCTAAGCAAAATTAGGAATAACGAGAGATAATATATAAATATTAGAGGAATAACAGGGAATAGCAATGATAATATAAATTTCGAATAAGAGAAATAAAATTTTACCAAAGACTAATAACATTGATATAATTTTAATAGATATAAATATGCAAGCAAGATGTTTTAATGAAGAGTCCATGTCAGCATATAATAGATGAAAGACTTGAGAACAAAATTCAGGAGCACGCATTTCAAGGAGTTTTTTTGAGTTTCTCCCGTCTAAATAAACATCAAATAAATATTATAAATAAATATTAAAAAAATATATATATGCCAATAATATTAATATATTAATAATATATTATTATATATTATATATTAATAAAACATATTAATAACATATTAATAACATGTTAATAGCAAGTTAATAACATGTTAATAGCAATTTAATAACATATTAATAACAAATTAATAGCATATTAATAACAGAATAATAAAAATATTAATAACAAACCATTTTCAGAAACAAGAACCCATAGACAAGTCAAAGCATTCAAGACATTATTTAAAGTAGATTCATTCTGAGATAAATCATTGATAGAATAACTTTCCAAAGCGTGAAGACTAGAATCTATAGCATCAACATTTAATTGAGAACGTTGAAAGAAAATTTTTCTAAAATTACACGTGACAAAACGCCGTTTTCTTGCCGAAACATCATATTCAGACATGAAAACCTGTTCCCATACGATACGATCATGTGATAATTTGTAAAAGATCTTGCATACTAAAGGTAAAGAAGTTACAGCAGTTTTTGGAGGATTAGGAGATTCGGATAAAATAAGTTCATACAAGATTCTCAAAAGTATTTCTGTTGGTAATGAGCATAAATTTAAATCAATAGGAGGATTAAGTATTTCCTCAATAGTAACATCACTTTGAGAATCTAAATAAACATCATTGGTAATTTCTAACAATGAAAATTCAGATTGGTCGTCCAAAATAAGATTTTGACAAGAATCTAAACAAAAAAAAGAAAGAAATTATAGCGAGAGATAGGTCAAAGATTGTTATTAATAGGTAAAACAGATTGATATAAATTTAATAGATATAAATTTAATAGATATATTCAATTACCTTGATCCAGGAAACCCATGTAAATAAAAAATTTTAAAATAGTTTTATAAAAAAAAAATTCATTCACAGCTAAACATTTGATATTTATTTAGATATTTACAAACATTGTTATTTATTGTTGTATTACACAAGCTCGCTACATTGAAAAAAAAGGAAATGAAACAACTTACACTCTCGAAGTGTATAAAGGTTTAAGAGTTGTACAAAACGATTAATTAATATTCACGCATTTTATATATGTGTGATGAATGTGATCCGCATGAACGAGAAAGAATTTGTCCTATGATCAGCCTGTACAACGATACATTTTAGCCTCGTTAAGTGATATTTAAGAAATTAGTACAATTAGTACGCACATATTTACGTACGTACATAAGTATATATGTATGTATGTACTCTTCAAGTTCTTTTAAAATCTATGTTTAATATTACTTAATATTGCACAATGAAGAACCAGATATGTTAGTTCCTTCTCATGCAGGGAACACTTTTCTGAGTGGATAATATTTCCATCCACCGAGCTTTTGATCTATATTATTAGGACTCAAGATAATGTCATGGAGTTGTTCCACATCATTTCGGATTTCGGTTCATACCATACCTCGTGTACGTACTCGTGTAATTGTAATTGTAATTGAGATGATTTTTGAGATATATATCGATATCGATATTAATCTGACATGGGTGTGGAAACATCAGTTTCCAGCTTTACTTTTCATCTTTACTAAATTGCACCTATCTGAGTATGATTTCATATAATTTATTATATAGTTATTATAATTATTTATAATTTTATAAATTATTTTATTATTTTTATTTTCATAAATTTAACTATTTGCAAGCCTTTTTCTTATTAACAAAAATCTTACATATTAACCTTATAACCAACCATTCACCAAATTAAAGATTTAATGATATAATTTGGGATAGTATTTTTTTTTTGTTTTTTTTTTGAATTTCGCTCACCATTATAATTACAAAGAAATTAAAGAAATTATATACTAAATAATTGTATTAATTAATATATATATAGATTATTGAGATGGATGATAGTAAATGTTTTTATAGTCTATGCCGTGTTCCGAGATGATTACCACAATTTGGACAACTATGTGTCACATCTAAAAAAAGCAAACAAGAATATTGATTAATATTGAAAGAGAAAAGGAAATAATTTAATTGTGAATAGAAGGAACACTAACCTTTACAAGAATCTACAACAAAAGGAACCCAGAATAATACCACAGTCAAACTAAATAATCCCATGGCTAATATATATACAAATTTTCCATTTTTATGATGAATCTGAGTAGTAATAAGTTTACTACAACTAGTACATAGAGTTTTCACAGGAAAGTCTGGATATTTTAACGAAGGAAAAGATGAATCAATGCTACGTTTCTTTCGGGTTTGTACTCTTGAAGTGCCAAATACAGTATGTGTTTTGATAGACAATTCGCATCCTTCGTTACTTGATGTACTTAGTAGAGAATCACTCATACTAGGTGAGGAATCAATTTTGATTAAGTTAAAAGATGACGCCATTTATGTTACGTAAGGAAGGAAAATATGATGATTTCTTTTTTTTAAATGATTGATGATGTGTCTAAATAATGTTTAGCTATCGTTTAGCTATTTTTTAATTATTTTTATTATTATTATTTTTTTTTTAAATTTTAAGTTTTAATGTGGATCGATTGGGAAGATTAGGGATATTTATATAAAAAAATTTAAGGAAATTCGGCAGCTTATAGGCCTGCACCACAGTTACAAATTCTTTTTTGTTTCATAAATAAAGAATTTGGAGTAATTTGAAAAAAAATGATGAACACGGCAATAGAACAATTCGCCCAAAGATCAACAAAACAAATTTGTCACACAGAAAGAAAATCAATGTACCTTTCATTTGTTCCACTACTCTGCTTAATTTCGTGGTAACAGTCTGGACCAATTGTAACCAAATACAATTCTATTATTACGTATGCAAGTATGTACGAATACATTGTAAGTTTTATTGTTGATTGTTTTAGCCATCGTTAGCCTTATACGTACTCCGTAGGCTTGTAGAATGTGGCTTGTTTTGAATTAATGCATATCGATATCAGATATCAAATATGTACTTACATGAATACGTATGTGCATGGCTTAGAATTTCTAGAAGCAAATCGAATCAGAAAAAAAAAAGGCATAAAATTATAAAACGCTATAGATATACAAAAAGGGAACCTTTTTCGAAACTTGTAAAAGAATCAAAATAGAGTGCATGATATGCCGTTTAATTAAAACAATTCAAAGTCCATGACCAGACACCAATGAAATCTATAATCTAATTTAACTAATTTAGGGGGTTGGCTGCGATTTGTAGATCACAAACATAACGACTTCCAGCAACAAGGGCCTATTTTTTTTTAATAATAAAATTGATACATGTATTGTTATAAAATCAGAAACGCATGTTAAAGCATTATAATGCTTCTTTTTAGAGACAATCACATGCTTACTCCATCATTATTCAAGCCTTTAGAACCTTTAGAATCTTTAGAACCTTTATATGTTAATATTGGGTACATTCGCCCGATACAGAATTGATACGTACGTAGAATAAAAAAAATAGTAAATCTTTGCTACGTATAGTTTTTGTGGCTGATGTTTAAAAAGATTGATTTATAACGATAACTATTTTTTCTAGAATATCAATCCAATTTTATTATGACGTATAGTTATACGTGATAATAACGATAATTTTAGTAATTCCAGAATTCTTGAGTTCAAAATTACGTACGTACGTACGTATTCAAATATCCATACACATGTATATCTAATTCTAATAACTTCAAACGCGCATTCACGCATTCACGCATTTATCCAGCTCATACTCCGTTGTCAATTGTTTATTTTTACAATGTTAGATATTGACAAACGAAAGGCCCTTCGTTTATATCTCTAAATAAAGCAAGCTAATAAATAATCTTTATAATATTTCCTTGTTTACTAACTTGTTTTGTATGAGGCATGTACCGGTACGTAGCGGTATAGGAGTGTGACATGATACGTACACCGAGCGACTTTTATTACAGAATATCAATCTAATAATAGAATGAATTAATTAATTGGGAATAGAATTACTTAATTAGAATATTTGTAAACCAGTGACTAATCCACGTGTGGCATTAAACAATTTTTTGATAACAATAATATACTTATATGTCTATTGTTTATTTATAAAACTACACAATAGATTAGTAAACTGAAAAACAGTCATTGTTATACAAAATGCATAAATATAGCTATGCGTGCGGACACTTGCGTTTTTGAATACTTGCATTTTTGGTATAATTAATAAAAATGTATAACGTAAATTGTGTTAATTGTATGTTGGTGTAAAATATCACCTAGAATAAGTCAATATTATAAAAACAAATTTTCTTAATAAAGTTAAATTAAATATTTTACCATATTTATTATAATTTGTTACGTATAATTTGTTATAATTTGTTATGATTTGTTGATTTGTTATGCGGTTATTTTGTCCAAATTTTGTTCAAGTTCTGTAATTATTACAATATTATATTACAATACTTATCATACAGTATTATATTTTATATATTACGGGACAATACATTAAAAAAAATCTCATTGAAATACATTAAAAAAAAAAGCTCATTGAAACAGTAAGAAAGAAGTTATCGTTATTACCATATAATCATGAAATACCAAATATCGTCCAGAGTGCGATATCGAAATAACATGTATGTTTATAAACCGGTTAACTAATATTTGGATTGTTTAGGTGACTTCATAGCACATACTTACAGATTATCCATGATTATAAACCGACAAACAAAGAAGCACATGATATACACAAGTAAGGGTGGCAAAACAATTATGATTTAAATTAAGATTAAAAAAATCAAATATCGATATTTTATTTAGCAATAATAATAACTGGATCCATTTTAAAAGTATTGTCAGATTAAAACTTGGATCCGGTTTTATTTTTCCCGATTTAAAACCGGGTTTTGGTATCATACTCTAGATCAGACATGTCATTTGACATCATTGATTTTGAACTCACTAATACTGTAATAATCAAGTTCTTATTAATAGAATATGATCAACTTGGTTAATGAATTGGTTAATGAATATAAAATATTTTAAGAAGCAACATTACCAATGAATCTATCTTAAAAAAATATATCACCTTAATATCAAGTTAATTGATTCTACAGGTACGTACGTACGTACGCATGTAGCTTTTTCCTTCACCCGATTGAAGATTATCGTTATACGGAATTATAAAACATTGCATTTAGACCTCTGCTCATTTCTAGCTGTTAGATATTTAATATAGAAACATGCATGCATAATACTCTTTTAGAAATTATTCCTAAATTAGCTCATCTCTAACAGCAAATTGAATAGAGCCTAGAGATCATTTAGAGATGCGGTAACTAGTTACTGCATAAGCCATAACGATAACAGTTTCTGCTTTTTCTCAAATTGCATTCCATTACGGAAAAGGCTTTCCAGATTTGGTTTACAGTATTTGTAATTTCTAAGTTTGGATATCACTTCTGCATCAAGTCTATGAATGCATAAACCCATCAATAATAATAATACATCCGAAATTCCGTAATGGAATTCCATCAATGACTGGAGTTAAAGTACTCAAGTATTTGGATTCAAATCCTGCTAAAAATGGTATAGGTATAGGTATAGGTCTGTTATTTTAATTGTATACTGTAATTAAATAATGATGCATGCACTATACCATGCACATACCATGCACTATACCATGCACATACCATGCGCTATACCATACACTATACATATGTAGCAATATGGCAAACTGGATGTCTTGTTTTGAAAATACATCACTTCAAAGCCACTTTTCAAAGATTGCTAATGCGTAGATTATCTATTAAAAACTACGAATACGTTTATTCTTAAATTTGTAATTTATTTATATATAAGTAATAGTATTCTTCTAGTAAAATTTAATACAAATATATATATATATATATTAAATATTAAAGGTAAGATTATTGCCTTTAACTTTATTAAAATTTAAGTAAAGTTTTTACAAAAAAAAACAAGTTTTTTTTTAAATTACATATAAAGAATAAAGACTCAAACATATAATTTGTAATTTAAATCTATAAAAATAGTCAAGGTTTATTTAAATTTAATGTAAATAAAAAAATAAATAAAAATATAATATGGTGCAGGACATCTAATTACATCACAAAATAATTGCTTTAAATAAAAGTTTAATAACTTTTTAACTAATAATGATTTTTAAAAAAATCTTTCTATAGTTATATTATCTAAAACCTAAGGAATATATCTATAGAGAGTTTTTTCAAAAAAGTTCTTTTGCTAAAAAGTTATTTTGATTTAAAAATTCTTTAATTTATTAATAATTTTAAAAAATTTAGCATTTTATTTTATCAATAAATATTAAAAAATTCAGCATTTTTTTATGTATTAAATTCAGCACTTTTTTATGTATAGTATTAAATTTAGCACTTTATTTTATTAATATTAAATTATAAACTCAAAATACAAATAATAATTGTGCTCGAGTTATTAAAAATTTAACTTATAATAAAATTAAATAGATTTTAAATTATTTTTATTAAGCATGTTGTTTGGATTTAAGCTAGTTTAAGATTTATTTATAATGCGGTATATTGCAAATTAGTTAAATATTAAAAGTGTTACATAAATTTTATATTTATGTCAAATGTTAAATTCGAAGAGTCATAAGTGAAACCTGTTATCGAGAAATAACTATTTACGAATTATGACAATTAAGATATGCGACATTTTGATCATTTGCATAATTAAATAACAATCAAAAATTTCTTATACTCAGATCACGGTTTTTGGATATTGCCAATCAAAAAATATTTAAACAAATTAGAACAATAGTTTACTACAAAAAAAGAGTTGACTTGTAATTTCTCATGATCATTCATACCACTATATGCATTATGAAGTAATTACAACATATGATATTTTTATAATATCTACCGCTACTAAAATAAGAAAAAAAGCGATAACCATAATGCCTTCTAAAATAGAAAAAAATATAGTGCACCAAAAAGTAAATGGAACCATCCTTTCACATTACATATGATCATACTGGTACATAATCTTTTATTGTACTTTACGCATCTTCAACTCAAATTTTAATCTGACACAATTCAGTTCTAAATATATCCTATTCTTATTCCATGCATAACACAATTTAATAATTTGAATCATAAGATTGGTTTGTGTTTCAAGATCACATATGGATGTATTAATACGATCTTTTGCATTCCCAGTTATGTTACAGTGTCATGGTTCAAGATCAATTTCTTATGGTGCTAATCATGAATCTTATCAATTTAGGTTTTGTATATAAGGAGTTTGATTACTAATCAACACATACTTTTTTATTAAAAGTAATGTTGGGTTTATGAAGGTTACAGTGACAACAATTTGCACTATCTATTCTATACATATATGTACAGTTCTTCTGTTATATGTCATATATATAACAAATTTGGCAGATCTGACCAATTTGGATTCACTCCAGCAATAATATGTATATTGCAGCAATAAGCAAGAATTTACTGATACAGGCTATACAACTTAAAATGTTTAATATATCTGGTAACTTGTTCATATTTATTCGCAATAAAACTATGTATATAAAATACTAATAATAATTGAAAAAGTAGAAATCTTAAAGTATAAAAAAAATACATATATATATGTACTATATAAGAATATTAAAAAATCAATTATTAATATACTCACCTTTATTCAATATTCAGATTTTCTAGTACATTATTTGGTATTCTCCTATGGGATTTATATTTTTTAACAGCAAAAGCAGCCTGCTTTACAGATAATCCTAGTCTATATACACTTATATAATGTAGTGAACACCTTGAATATTTCTGAATTTGAATTAAAGGGACTGAATCAAGAGCAATTAGAACAATATTTTTTAAAGATTTAAAGCTATAATCACAGTTGGCACATGTATAAACTTTTACTGCATCCTAATAACTTTCAATATAATTTAATTCGCAGTGAATTTTGGATAAAAAATAATTTTATAATCTGCCTCTTCAACAATTTCTTCAAGGAGTGATTTTTGGTTAGCAAAATCTGGTTCTAGACTTAAAATTTGTGTAGCACAACAATCACGTTTCTGAAGAGCTCCCTTTTTACAATCTGAGCAGATTTTTTTTAAATTAGGATAAGCTAAACCTCTTTCTTCAAGAACTTGATATATTCCTTTTGGTGTGCCATCAGGATAATTTATTTCCTGTAAAGTACCATCCCGCATATAAGTGTTTCTCATTTGAGGTTATTGACCATCAGATTTGAAATTTATTCATGAAACTACTAAAGCATCATTAGCAAATGCAGCATGATTACTGCTATTATCAAAAGCAAAAACAGCTATGCAACCAGGATGTATTGCTTCAAATATTGGAATTGCCTTGTTTTTTAATTGCTGTGCCATGTCACTAATTGTCCAATAACCATCATGATTATTACCAGGATGAATAATGCAATGGGCTTCAGTAGGAATTTGCTGTTCAAATGAAAAACTATTATATTGTTGCTGGTAAACATTATCTAATCGAAGCTGGCGAATTGTATCGCAAAGAAATTCACTAACCATTATACTACCTCCAGCTGATTTTGAACATAATGGTAGTTTACCAATAGGTGTCCAAAATGCCTTTTGCCCATCATTTGCATAAAATACTGATTCATCATGTGTTACTAGTATATGTAACCTTTCTCTAGCAGGAAGAATTGGATTGATTTGTTGCATTAAGTCATCAGACCAATCTGGCATTAATAACTCATACTGGGCCATACAATCTAAAAAATTACGATGATACTCTACAACATCCGATCGTTTATGACCATCAACATATATATCTTTTTAATATGGCTTGAATTCCCATCCTAAATGGTTTAACCATCTTTGTGCTGTTTTATTACTAATAGTTTTTCCTGTTTCAATTCCGATACTTGGAAATATTTCATTACAAACATAGTCACAAAGTTTATGAATGCTTAATTTAAACTTATGCAAACTTAAATATTTAAGAAGTTTACTTTTAACATCTTTATCAAGTAAAAGTGACTGGATTTTTTGATGTTTTCCTCGTTTTGAAGCTTGAATTGTACTAGTTTTTGTATATTAATTACCCCAAGTTCTTATTAAACATGCAGTTCAAGATCCACAGTTAAGTGAAGTTGAAATTATATTACTTGCTTGCACTCTAATAAGTCCTGATTCTACAAGCCGAAGGTATTGTGCAGTATACTGAAGCTGAAGATCCTGTATCTCGTTTTTTATTTTTTGTTCTAATTCAGATAATGTGTATTCAGAAGTTTCTTCTTCTGAAGAATCTATAATTTTTATGATTAATTAAATATTAAATAGTCATAACAACAAAAACATAATGAATAATTATAATAGATTAAAATGAAATTTTGTATAGTGTAAAACAGACAAGCCACCAAAAAAATACAAATTTTGGTGCATGTTTTTAGCTTTTTTTTTTAGCATTAGGGATCAGCTTTAGAAGCAGGATTTATAGTAAACAAGTATGAGTTTTAGAAAGTAAATAGAAACTTCAAATTTCATTTTAATCTGATCTTATTATAATTCGCGACAATTATTATCAGCATTTAAATCAAATATTTCAGACTCTTCATTACTTTCACTATTACTATTAACACTAAAATAATTAGTGATTTTTTGAGATCCTTGTGCAGCTAATTTCCAACTTTGCCTTTTATTTCGCATGGTTGATTTTGCATTTCCAATATAAAATCCATTTTGGGAAGTTTTTTTAAATGCATCAGATTTATTGGCAGCATCAAACATTAAATTATGTGTATTTAATTTGGGTTTAAAGAGTTCATCCACCCAATCATTTTCATCACTAGAAGATTGGCTACTTGGAGATTTACTATCTAAAGATTCGATGCCTAAAAGTTCACTGCCTAAAGATTCACATTCTGAAACTTCATCACTAAACAATTCATTATCTATGTAAAATATATTAAAATAAGATTAATTTATACATTATATAAAGCATATTATTGAAATATATAATATTCACTCTCTGCATTTTGTGCTCTTTTATCTCTAGCATCTTTTAAAAATTGAACTCGCTTAGACAGTCTCATTTTTTTAGTTAATATTAGTCAAAATGCAAAACACTTTAAAAATGAATTATTATAGATTATTACGAGAGAATTTTGTTATTGAAGAATTAAATAAAAATAAAACTTGAAAATATTTAATCAAAAAGCAAGTTGGTTTTAATTTGATAAACGCTTCTTTTATACTTTTAATTCTATCTTTACAAAGATTTCATCACATCTAATTTAATCCTTCGAATTATAGGTAATTCATTGTTGTTATTGGAAGCTTTAAGGCTATAAAGCAGGATTATTTCATTCATTTTCCTTTTTCTTTTCTAAAGCACTTGACATTACTAATTTTTTTTCTTTTTTCCTCATGATTTCATGCTTATTAACATAAACACCTTCAGAATCTCGCGTATTTTATATATTACAGTACTTTTTTTTTCACCTTAATTACTTTACTTTTAAGTATATATGTAATCCCATTAACCTATATCTGACAATCACTTCAATTACTTCATAGACAACTTAGTTTGCAGGCAATTAATTTAAAGAAAAGGCTAATTTACAAACAAGTTCATTTCATGTCCATTAACTAAGTTTTTTGTGAAGCGATTGAACTGTACCAGTTTGAGTTATGGGAATCGCATGAACAAGGTTCCAATATTATACAAATCTTGTTTGAGTTTGATCATGGTCTTTTGTGATTGCTCACAGTTTCTTTTTGAAAAAGTCTGTGATATTATTATTCCCCAACATCAATTGTTCATTTTAGTATATATGTATATACCCAATAATTAATATTATTTGGCATTTCGTCTAGTTATTTAAGTGGCATAGAAAGAAAACCTGCCTGAATTCTAAGTTTGAATTGGCACAACAATAACTCATTTATTTTCCTAATTCACAATAATTATGATAATCATATGCCGATCTACTGAATCCAGAAAGTTGGAATCAAATCCAGCTGTATATTAATATTACCAAAATAGATTGCTTTATAGACAACAAAAAGCATTGCACACATGTCATAATATTAATTGGAGGCATCTAGCTAATCATACTAGATATTAAACTTTATTGAATGATTTTTATTGAGAATATGCAATGTACGTCAGTGCAATTAATGTATAAACTGAGACAGGATATACTTCCAGAAATAGCAATTACAATTGCACCAGGTATCGCCATCATCAGCTGAATTCACAATGCGTGGCATCAGCCGGTGGTCTCCCACACTGCATGAAGCAGGCCAGCTTTGACATAAAATTTTTAAGTTGCCACAGAATGGCAGGATTCTATGCGGGTGGGGGAGGTTTGGGTGCGAATTTCTGGTTCATTTGGGTAGATGGTGCCAATTGTCAATCATGCACCCTCTTATATTCAGTCCTGCAACAGAGACTATTCTTAGCAATTCCATAAATAACCTAATTTGGCAACTAATTAAAACTTTAATTATACTTATCTGACTTCATGTGCCCATTCACACGCTTCTTCTTTTCTTTATACTTAATCAGGATTAATGGCTGCATACTGGAATATGACCAGGTTGTTGCCGGTATATCCCTGCTTAGCCATCTTTTCGATCTGTTGATTTTTATCAACCCGAAATTTAACATATTCGGTTCTGGTATATTTTGTTAGTGCACAAGTAGTATGATTATTTATTGATACATGTAGCGTACATCAGTGCAATTGATGTATAAGTGACAAGAGATGTATCCAGAGATAGCAACCAAATTGCACTGGGTATCACTGTCAGTTGAATTCATGACATGTAGCATCAGTCAGTAGTTTCCTGTCTGCACAAAACAGGCCGACTGATATAAGGTTTGAAGATACCATAAAAGGTAAACTTCTGCCTGGAAATGTGGGGATGGGTGTAAATCTCGTTTTTTGACTTTGATGGAATGCTACCTGACTGTGTGACTAATCATTGCATTTTATCCAACAATGAAGTTATCAGTAATTATCTAATAATTTTAAATTGAGCAGCTGATTGAATTATACTTATCTGTTATCTGAAAGCATATGCTATGCTTCTTCATGTGCCACTAGCTTATCTGCCTGCTAAATCGACCCGTTGACTGGTTTGGAAAAGCGATCTGGTCTGCACAACCTAACAGGGGCATATCCCTTCCATCAACTTGAAAAAAAATAACTTTTTAAATTTAGTGCTATTACACATATATAATGTATAATTTATAAAATTAAGAATTATATATTTTTTATAATAATTATCTATAAAATTTAGTACTATTATATATATATGTTATAATAACTTACAAAATTTAGCGCTATTATAATATAAGTTATAATAATTTACAAAATTCAGTGCTATGATGTTCTGCACTATATAAATTTTAAAATTCAGCACTACTATTTATATTTATATATAGATTTCAAATTTCAGTGCTATGATGTGATTAGATGTTCTGCACCATATTTAATTTATTTTTATTTTTTTTATTTTTTTTATTTTTTTTATTATATAATATCAAATAAAAAAATAAGGATACATTTATATATCAATTGGATATAAATGTATAACTAAAATATTATTTCTAAATTATACTATTTTTGTTATATGCTACAACATCTAGTGTAATATTATCTTTTAATTTTCTGTTATTAGTTGAATTAATTGACATAAACTTAACTACAAAGAAGATAAAAAGAACTCTTAAGACTATTTAATTAGTAAAAACAGATATGTATAATAAAGTTTTGAGTAAAAGTTTTAAAAATAAAGAGACTATATTAGTATTAAAAGTGAAAGTAGTATTGTTAGAGTTTGTAAGTTGAGAAGTAGGTAATCTGATATTGTTTTTCTTTTTAATAAAGAATATAATTTCTCATAATAATTTCTATTTATATTGTTTAGTATTACAGGTTTGCCAAATAATAAAGTTGAACTAAGTAAATAATAAGTTAAATAAAGAAATAAGAACATTGTTAATTAGTTTTTTTAAAATAGGTTGAAGTTGATTATATTGGTTAAAGATTATTGTACCTTGAATAAGTAATAGTATTGTATTATATATATTTAGATTAAAAGAAGTATTTTATATAATACGAATTTATATTATTATATTTGGTAAGGTTTCTGTAATGTTTAAAAATTTAAAGCATTTAAGATTTTATTAATAAGAGTGTTTTGTGAATTGTAAGAATAAAGTAAGCATTGGAATAAGTGTTCAATGCTTTTATATTGATTATAATATAAATAATTTAGAATTAGATAAAAAAAGAATAGTGAATATTTAGATTTGATATTGTTGGTAAATTATTGAAAAGTATTTTGTTTTTAATAGAATACAGTTTAAGATTAAAGTTTTAGAAAAATATTTAATTTATTGAATAATTCAAAAATCAATTTTAGTAATATTATTAAAAATTAAAATAAAAAATTAAATTAAATTAAAAGAAAAATTATAAAATAGATTAATAAAAAAATAAAAATTAAAATTGTTTAAAATATAAAATGCAATAAGAAATTCAAATTTGTTTATAAACTTATTAATTTAAATAAAAAAATATTATCTAAAAAAATAGTAGTGTAATAAAAAATAAAAATACTATAAATAAAAAAATAAAATTAGTTAAAATTAAATCAAATAAGATAAAAATTAAAAAAAATTTGCATAAAAGTTATTAGTTTAAAACTGTTAAATAAAAAATATTTTGATATAAAACAAAACCAAAATTATTAAAAATGTTAAAAAAAGTTATACTAAAAACAATATTAAAAAGGTTAAAAAACAAATTATAAATAGTTTAAATAAAGAAACAAATAATCTAATATAAAAAAAAAATGTATTAGTAACAAAAAATAAATAAAAAGAATTAGGGGTATGGCAACCTAGTGAAGTGGTCAGGTTGTCAACTCTCCAAGTGGTAAGTTGGATGTTCAAATTTTATCGATAGTAAAAATTTGGATAATTACCTATGTAATATTCATATTATAACAACTGTTACTAATGATTGGGTTAGGATACCTGTAATGGTAGTCACA